GAATTCTGCACAGGTATGTATGCTAATTAATTTATACATACTTTTTCCGCTCATGACTTTTAAATTTCCATTTTAATCAGATAGGAAGTATGTTATGTAATTCAACCTGGACTTTTCCCTGTGCTTATACATTTTTACTTTGTACATTATAGGTTGAATGGCCCTCGTGCATGTTGTGATTTTTGTGACTTGAATTAAATGCAGGATTTTTTTTTTCCGCTTGACCACCTGAGCGGTGGGATTTTGTTTATCAGGCAGTTGGAGGACCCTGGGATATTAATGACTTGACAAAGCACCCCTGGGTGAAACATTTCTCCACAATATTATCTCATGTCATCCCTCTATTGTCACATTTTCTGCCATCATGGACCAGCTCGAAACAGTCAAAGGTAAGTTATACCTGTGTAACATATTGGTAACATATTGTGTCCTTTTTTGATATATTTATTGCCTCACATGTCCGTATGGCAAAATGAAAATGTTTTATACATGTAAATTAAGTAATTAGAATGTTTAAAACTCTTAAGAGACTTGCAGATGACCCATAGTCAACCCATTGCTTGTATACAATACATTTATATTAAGGACTTTAGGTTTTAAAGGGAGTTCTTTAATTAACTTATGAAAAATTGATATTATACGTATATTTTTTAAACTTAATAAGAAATACTTTCCCTGAAGTTTAATTAACTTAAACAGTTCTAATGAAAAAAATGATTAAAAGGTTTTCAAATTTCAATTTAAAGGGAAATAATGTGCAAGGTATTAATAATTTAAATAACATGCAATTTTAGATATTTACATATGATATAGAAGCATATAGGTTTAAAATGATTTTGTAAATTTATGTTAAGCAAGGCACTTACTCACCAAAATCAATGAATTGGATTTGCATATATTTATTCAGTGTATTACTAATTTTAAAAAAATCCTGCATTTATTTCTGTAGCTTTGAATACATGTCAAAAATGATTAATTTTGCAAAAAAAGGGAGAAGATTATAAAAATTAAGTAATTGACAGAGTCTTTACTTTCTTTCATTAATTCTCAGAGTCTTGTGATAAGTTATATAGGCAATATAAGTGGCTTTTACATTCACAGTGATTATATAAAGAAAGAGTTCAAGATAATTTTCAACAAGTAAGAGGGATTTTAACTCATCTGTAAAAACTCTGAGATTTCTTTTAAAGTTCTTTATTTTTGGTTAAATGGGTTCACAACACATTATCTTGTAAATTATCATGGATCAGACAAATTTTCAGTCATTTAGATTTGAAAAGCGGACACAGGATTTAATTAAACTCCCCAAGTGATTCCAGGCAAAGATACCCCAGGCTTTGTGAAGGCTCATCTTTCACTTGGAGTTTTAACTCCTTCACTGATAAATCGCAGCTTTTTATTTCTGAGGATTTCCCTTAACGACTTCTTGGTCAATCATTGAGACTAGTATGGCTGAAGTTTACCTGTAGTAACGAGACAAGTGATTTATGGAAAGGTGTTTGTCCAGCTATAAGGAAATAATTACAGGGATCCAGCAAGTGAATTACATTTTGAACAAGTGATTAAGTGACGACTGACCATATAAAAAATCCATCTGACAGATGTATATAGAGATATTGCCATCTTCTGGCCCGGGGATAGTAAACCACCAGGCTGGTCCTTAAGTGTAATAGATACATACAACAACAAAAAAATAAATAAGAATTGTCAGCTCGGAGGCAGCATGTAATCTTATACATAGAAACACAGGTATCCCTATGACAGATACAACTATACAATAATTAATTTGTATTTTTGATACATTAATTTTTCCCTTGATGTTTACTCCTTTTGATTGCATATTGGATGGGGGATGGATATTTTGATAGGATATGTAAGTTTATATGTACTATTAGTGCTTGGCATAAAATGTAGGGTAGTTTCTTTTTCTGCAGATTAAATTAGGTATTAAAATTGATATTTGATTATGTACCTGAGTTGTTGGGAAATGGGGGGGGGGGGGGCTTACTATTTAATTCAAAATGAAAGATTTAATTAAAAAAAATATATATACATGTAAGTAACACACACACAGAGTAATAAACAAAATGTAACACACACTAATGAAGCAGAATCTTACCTTTTTAATTATTACAATTAAAATAAAAAAAATCCCATGACAGTAGTATGCATCACTTGTAATGGGACATACCTTATTTTGTATACATGTTACTTATATCTGACAGGGCATAAAAAGGACACAAACATTAAAAAGATGGAATAGATGATGTTATCAACACAAACGTAATGGAGCCCTGCAATAAAAATAACTGCTTACAGTAATTTATCTATATAAAAGTTACATATTGGTGGGAAATTTTATCTATTTCTTTTGTTGTTTATATCAACCATGTCAAAGGAAGAAACTGCCATCTTTCTCCCGTATAAAAAGTTGGCGTCAGCCATGAATCAACTCTCTCTGATAAAGAAGCAACAAATTCTTTTGTTACAGCTAGTGTGCCTCCTTCCACAGCTAGAAACAGTTCATTTTTACAATATTTATTAACTTCTAAATTTGTGCAAAATATGTTGAGTGCATGGATTACATCTTACAAGGATACTAACCAACTCGTGCTCGACAAGGGAGGTAACTTTTTCTTGTATTCTGTAACACACCATATCTAAGGCTATAAAAATATTGGATTAATAAAACTTGATGTTACATAATAATAGCTGCATGCATATAAAGTATGAAAGAACTGTAAAAAATGAATAAAACTGTATAGTAATTAATGTATTGTGTCGCAGTGATACACAATTTTCATTTTTTTGTGAGCAGGGGCTTATTACCTAGAATTGAGGACATATAAAACAGGCTTCCCCAGGAGATGAGGCACATGAAGAAAAATGCTGAATTTCTGTGTAGTGTTTTAATGGATATTTAAATTTTGTGATGATTTCATTTATCTTTTCTCGCATAACATAACATAATTAAGTGATATATATATACAGGTGTTTCTGGTTTAGGCAGTAATTTGATACAAGGGAGGTAATGACACCAGGCCACCTGGCCTTTGATTTACCTTTAGAGGTTAAAGCAAAATTCCAGGTATCCCTGCGCTCTAGGGCCAGGAATTCCAAGTATCCCTGCGCTCTAGGACCAGGAATGCTGAAGGTCAGGCAGCTGGAGCTGGAAGTCATTTCTCCAGCAAGTGGTGTACAGTCAAAATAAGATTACTATACTGTACTATTAGAGATGCTGTGTCACTCAGTAGAGACTCAGGACCAAACAGGGAGTTTACTATTTCAGGGAGGGAGAAAACTACAAATTTCAGAAATATAGGGATTAAAGGGATGTGTAATTGGTGTCAGAAAGTGGAATTTAGAAAGTTCAATTTCTGTTCCCACAACATTTCTAACTGAATAACAATCTTCCTAATATGAACTCAGTGATATCAAAGATCTGTGTTCTTGTCTTCTTCATATCATTAATGCAATGAAAACTTAATGGAAGGAGGACAGATGGGACAGTGGTAGATAATTTCTATTCCCTTGTCTCGGAAAGTTACACTTTAATTGGTGTTAAAGATAAAATTGTTGTTTTGTTATATGAGAGAAATTGAATTTTATAGTGCTTACTAAGGAATCAGTGGTTGATTATAAAGACTAAATATGATTAAATAGGGTCCAGCATCTGTTGCTGGGGAGTTTTATTTTGTACCACAGCTGTCAAGGCCATAAAAAAATCTCTCCATAAATTATACATCTGGAAATTAATTTCAATATTATACTGTTCCTGTATAATGTGACAATTATATCTGCAAGCACCATCTAGGAGTCATATTACTCTGATGAATAAGATAAACTTTTCATATTCTATACTACCGGAAAATACCTAGAAATTGGAAAAAAATGTTCCATGTTCAGTGTAAATATCAGGAGTTCATGTATAATCAACTGAGAGATATACCACATGTATTCATCTCTGCTAGAGTTTTTAACATGTTCATGTAAACAGCATTATTTTGTAGTTTTTGTTACTCGTTGTATTTTCACACATTTTATGTTGTCATGCTTTACAAATAAAAAAAGTCACTGCTGTAAATAGACACAGCTGAGAATTAAGGGAATTACTACCATGTTAGCTGGTATGTAGTATTTCACACCAAATGTCACTTTCTGAACTTCTTCAGTATAACCCAATGATTCGCGTGGAATGTGTTTGAAAAATGAAATTTGTACAAGTTGTAGATAAACTTGAAAGAAAGATAACAAGATTATCTTTCAAACTCTAATGATTATGGAATCTATTATCAGTTAGTGAATGTACTAAGGTCAAATGGACTATTAAAGCCGGTCTGGTAATCACTTGTGTGAGTCTTACACATGTATTTGTGATACAGACTTGTCATGTTGAAGACACTTTTAAGGAGTCAATTAGGAAGAAGATGGAGATTAAATTGACAAATGAAAACCTACAAGTTCTTTCTGACTGTTGAATGATATCATTTTGATATTTCCCTGTGCTCTGCTCATAGAATCATGATAAGCATTTCCCCCTATCAGTGAGATTATTCCGTTAAATTCTGCTTCTTTTCACGGGAAAAGTGTTTAGATAAAAAACCTTTGGTTTGGATAATATCTGGCATATAATAGAAATTTCATTTTCTCTGGATATTGTTTTTTGGCACACGTTAATGGAAGTTCAGTTACCTCCCTGGACAGAACTGTCATGCTTTTTCACATCAGGTGTGCATTTCTCATCTTGATCAGGACATTAGCACTATAAGATTGAGTTTCTCTGACTTTAATGTTATTATTTGTTATTCTACACCTTTTATTATACCTGGTACATTTGTTGGATTTTTACTGCCTATTTTCTTATGTACTAATTCACAAGAGAAAATCCTTTTGATTTTAAAAATATTGAATTGTTGTTTCTTGTGAATTAGTAATGAAATCAGCTTTTAAATGATCTGATTTATTGTCATTGTGCCCCTATTTTATACCTGCTTTTTTTGTCTCTCCAGGCTGTGACCTTAGATGAAGATTGACCCTGGAATAACCTCATGTCATGGCACTGTTCACCTCAGTACTGGGGGTCAAGGACGTTTTTCTGCTGCTGCTGTTGATAGGAATTTCCTCCCTTTTACTTACCTATCACATAGTGTTGTACCTCCCATACCCACCTGAAGGTCACAAGGAGGTCAAGGACGTTCATTTTCTAGAGATTCGTCAAAATCAAATTGCTAGAAAAACATATGGTGAAGATGGGTTGGATCTCCCTGAGAAGGTAGACCACCAAGAGCAGAAAGCGACAGCTACAACTCGGAAGCTCAATATCTTGAACAAGATTTTTAAGGTAATTAATTTTCCTCAGAGTTTTCAATAACGGATTATAAACAGAAAATTCCTTCTTTGAATTGTATGCATGTACATGTTTCACGTACTTCTTTGGCAAGACATATTTCTTATGGCCCTGCTTCATGTGCAAAAGTCTACACTAAGTATCAACCCCCTTATCAGAAGCTCTCCATTCTATTAAGTCCAAAATAGCCTTTTTGTCATTGTATTCAAGATATATTTGGTGCCTGGTTTTATAAATATTTGTGGTGGTTATAAACTTTATCTTGATGGAATTTAAGCTAGTCATTCTACTTAAAGATACATAATATTGTGTACATATTTAAATGTAATATGATATGGGATAAAAAAAAAAATATGTAGATTCATATTTAAAATTCAGAGAGAAATCAATCAGTGTTATTTTAGGCATTTATTTGTTTTCTTAGGTGTGTTGACAAGGCTTAGCAATCTTAATGTATTGATTGAATATTTAAATGATAATGAATTTTAACTCTTCAAACAGAAAGAATATGGGATTAAAATATGTTGAAAAATGAATGAGGGATATAATTAGTAAATGATAGAAAACACAAAGTAGAGTATGGTATTTCAATCATGTAATGCCTTGAAGATTCTATACAGCTAGGCTATGTATGTGTTTTGTTTTTAGCTCACCTGAGCCGAAGGCTCAAGTGAGCTTTTCTGATCACATTTTGTCTGTAGTCCGTCTGTCCATCCGTCTGTCTGTAAACTTTTCACATTTTCGACTTCTTCTCAAGAACCACTGGGCCAATTTCAACCAAACTTGCCACAAAGTATCCTTGGGTGAAGGGGATTCAAGTTTGTTCAAATGAAGGGCCACGCCCTCTTTCAAGGGGAGATAATAAAGAATTAGTGAAAAATTAATAGCATCTTTTAAAAATCTTCTTCTCAAGAACCACAAAGCCAGGGAAGATGAAACTCATGTGGAAGCATCCTCAGGTAGTGTAGATTCAAGTTTGTTCAAATCATGACCCCCGGGGGTAGGGTGGGGCCACAATGGAGGATCAAAGTTTTACATAGAAATATATGGGAAAAACCTTTAAAAATCTTCTTCTCAAGAACAGCAAAGCCATGATGAGTCATATTTATATGGAAGCATCCTCAGGTAGTGTAGATTCAAGTTTGTTCAAATCATGACCCCCGGGGGTAGGGCAGGGCCACAATGGAGGATCAAAGTTTTACATAGAAATATATAGAAAAAATCTTTAAAAATCTTCTTCTCAATAACAGCAAAGCCCTAATTGATCATATTGATATGGAAGCATCCTAAGGTAGTGTAGATTTAAGTATGTCCAAATCATGACCCCTGGGGGTAGGGTGGGGCCCCAAAGGAGGATAAAAGTTTTACATAGAGATATATGGGAAAAATCTTTAAAAATCTTCTTCTCAAGAACAGCAAAGCCCTGATTGATCATATTTATGTGGAAGTATACTCAGGTAGTGTAGATTCAAGTTTGTTCAAATGTTGCCCCCCTGGGCTTGGGTGGGGCCACAATGGAGGATCAAAGTCTGAAATAGAAATATGTAGGAAGATTTCTTCTGATGAAGAACTGCAAAGCCATGATTAGTCATTTTGATATGGAAGCATCATCAGGTAGTGTAAATTCAATTTTGTTCAAATGATGACCCCCGAGGGTAGGGTGGGGCCCAAAAGGGGGATAGAAAGTTTTACATAAGAACACATAGAAAAAATATTTCTTCTCAAGAACAGAAAAGCTATGTTTAGTCATATTGATATGGAAGCATCTTCAGGTAGTGTAGATTCAAGTTTGTTCAAATGCTGACCCCCGAGAGTAGGACGGGGCCACAATGGAGGATCGAATGTTACATAAGAACATAGAGAAAAAATATTTCTTCTCAAGAACAGAAAAGCTATGTTTAGTCATATTGATATGGAAGCATCCTCAGGTAGTGTAGATTCCAGTTTGTTCAAATGATGACCCCTGGGATAGGGAGGAGCCAGGGGGGATCAAATTTTTACAAAGGAATATATCAGAAAATTTTTTTAAAATCTTCTTAAGTACAACAAAGCCATTTGTTATTTTGACATGGAAGCATCATCAGGTAGTTTAAATTTCAAGCCCCCCCCCCCCCCCCCCCCCCCCCCCCCGAATCTTTTCAATACTGAACTGATTTGTGCTTTTGCCTATCCACTGTGCTCAGGTGAGCGATGTGGCCCATGGGCCTCTTGTTTTCTTTGTCCCCATTGACCTTTGACTGTAGGTTCACCCTGAGGAACATCTGACATGCAGGGGAGATTACTGTGTCATAAATGTCGCTAAATTTCTCATAAAATCATTTCATCCATAAAGCTTCTGTACGCAGGGGAAATTCTATCTGACATTCATGGTCTAAAATTTTCAAAATAAGTTGTTTTTTTAAATTCAATTTGATAAAGTGTACTTTTGAGACAAGAAAATAGAATTAATCCTTGGCTTATGGAGGAGAGTGTGTTTATATTTAATTATTTTATTGGTGTATTTGTGGCTAACTTGATGAAGTGGAATATAAAACAATGAAAGCTGTATTCCATCAAAAGCATGCCATTGGAAAGTCTACATTTTTTGTCTCGATCTCTCTCTCTTTCTGTTTGCAGTTAGTATCAAAAATAATTTAATTTGCAAAACAACACTCACGGTCTTCATATTTCATGTTCTGTCCTGTATGAAATTTAAAGGCAGATTCCGCCTGGAATATGGGTGGAATATAGCAGGAATTGGCTACTTCCGGGTGTACTTGAGATGGAGACGGACTTTTGAAAAGTTATGCCTGAGTAGAAGAGGCATCTTCCAGGTGTCATTTCTACTTTCCGGCGTCAGTTTGCAAGCCTAGTTCAGATTTTCCCTGGCATAAAATAGCAGGAAAATTGAAACAAAAATTACACCTGGAACTTTCAGGAGGAGTAAAAGCCTCTGATTGGTCAATAAGGGTCATTACAGATAGGAGATTAAGTTTGAATTTCATCAAGAAGGATCGAGAGAGTATAGTGTGAGTGAAATAGGAAATACAGATACATGTATATCAATGTTAAGGCTTTTACACTTGTTGTGGTTGATCGACACAGTATCTGCTGGTAGGTGTGATAATTAATATCTGGTACCTATTTAGGTAAATTTGAATGTACAATGATTGTTATTGACTCATTAGACTATTTGGAGTTTCCTTGAACACATTCTGAGATGACATAGAGGCACTCAATCTGTAAAGTACTGAGTAAATGAACTGATGTTAAGTAATTTGTTTGAATCATTGTCATGCATGGAATGATAAAATAATTTCAAAAAGTTTATCAAATTCTTATAGACATTATTTTACACTCCTGATGATGTCTCGGTGTCCCTTATGCAAAGAAATAAAACAGCTTTCATATAATATATTTTTATACTATTTTAGATGTTAATGACTTGTCATTATGTTTTCTTTTCAGTTCAGTTCAAAAGGCTAAATTTTCAACTTTAACATTATAAATCATAATTTTGCTTTTCTTGGCTATATATAGGTTTTTAGGTCACATAGTATTATATAATAATAAGGACTTTCCAGGCATAATTTTGCTTCAGGCTTCATTTTAGTTTCCAGGCGTAATTCTTTTCTAGGCATCATTTATTTTTCCAGGTGTAACTCATTTGCATTTTTCACCTCAAATTTCTGCTCAATTCCGCTTTGTTTCCTCTTGGTTTACGCTGGAACCTGCATAACACCATATGTAGTCAGACAAACTCACACCGCGATCCTTTTCAAAGAATGTCTCTATTCCCCCTATATTCCGGGCGGAACGTTTTGTACAGGGTATCATGTTCTATATGTACATTTGTAAATTACTGGAAGAAAATATTAATAAAGTTAATAAGTTTCTTCAGATATCACTCTGAAAGGGATATGTGCACTTTGAATACTGTAACATGTTAAGATGTATGCAGCAGCTATAGGCGTACCTTTAATATCAAGATATTTTTTTTGCTTTTATGAATATAGATGAATGGTACGTTTGTCAGTTTTTGTGCAGTTGTCAATGTTATGTTGTATTTATCCTTTTAATAAGTCATTATAATGTTCTATTGCATGTATATCAGTCCTTAAGGTTCAATCAAGTAAAATTACCTTGATTTTATTTTTAAGATTTTGCAATAGCTGTAACTGTCAATCAGCTATTTCATAAAGTGAAGATATTGGAAAAATTGTCAGATTCAGTTTCTGATTTTTCTTGATTAATATGAATATATTTGTTTATGATATGTCAAAATTTAAGTGTAAGAAATTTTCTGTCATGAGAATTAAGTGCTTGAAATTTTTCAAAATATTTAGTTTTGATAAGAAACTCAGATATTCTGTATGTTTGCTATATGAATGGTTTCTTGCTGACAGGGTGTTTCCCTTCACTGCAAAGCTGCTGTAATGTTTACGTTTAGTTAGATCACACAATTACGTTTTTGTACAAACATAAATCACGGTCAGTGTTTACACATTCCCTGGGCGAGGGTGATGTATGATTTGGCAGTGGTAGGAGTTATTGAGAGTAACAGCCGTTGGGTGGATCAAATTAATTTGTTTTTCCAATTTAATGCCTTTGCTCCTGTTTATTAAGCAGATCAGATTGTAGAAGCTTGATAAATTTCTCAGATTTATTTTATAGATCTTTGTAACTTGCAATTGACAACTAAGTCAGTGATATAATTATACATAGTATCATATTGCTGAATCGATTTATTTACATGATTTTGTAAAATTGAGTGGTACTGAAAGATTAACTCACCTGAATATCATACGGTCATGTACATTTGATTACATATACATGTGTATTTATATGATCAGAATTGTACAGTCATGTACTACATAATTTGGTTACATGTACTAATATGAATAGTATCAGACAGTCATGCATGTACATTGTACATGAAGGTCTGGTTTAATTGTTAATTTATCATCAATCACAGGTTGCCAATAATATGTCAGAACAGTGTATAGAATATTTGAAAAAATGCAAGTTATGAAGAAAATGATTTTTTAAAAATTTTATTTTAATCTAGAATTTTAAACCATAAAATAAAACATCTATCAGTTCTCTTGTGTAATTATGTTAAGCATTAATGAATGAGTATTGGAAATTTCTAAGAAAACTGGTTTCTGTGTAATTGAAATATTATTAAATAAAAATAATGAAATGGTCCTTTGTGATAGATTACTAAAACTTCTAAATTTTGTTGCATATAGATTGAAGAGAGAATAATAGCTGTATCTAGATTTCCAGCGCTTATTGAAAACGAGGGAGCAAAAGACAACAGCACGCTAGTACTGGAAGATCTGTTACGTCACTTAGACTATAGAGTGATCCACAGAGCTGGTAGGAATAAGGAAAATTATTGTCTAATGGATATAAAGAATGTAACTCTTCTGTGTTATAGAGGCCTATTTCTCTGTTCTTTTGTCTGCTTGGTTAGTGTAGTTTTAAAATAACAAATTTTTCAAAATGAATATTAAAAAAACACATACTGAACAATATTCAGATCTGACTTGTCATTTGTAGAGCGTATTTGTCATTTACATTTTTAATTTACTTAAAGACTTAAGAATTTATTAAAATGAATTGATCCTTGCTCAAATATATTACCCAATATTTAAAGTTGAGCTTGATCCTATGTTGTGATAATAATTTGTCTTCCATTATATTATTAACTCCATCAAAAAATTTGACAGAAAAATTACTTCATATGAAAGTATTGAAAGAAAATATTTATTGGGTATCATTATGTATTAACTTGGCATCTTTTGTTTTTCAGAAAATGTTGGACAGAAAAAACAGAAGTTGTCAATGATTTGGAATTTAAAGGGACATAACTCCACAACTGTTACAGAAAATGATTTAAAGAAGGTAAGGCATTCTCCATAAAAAGGATATAAAATACCAGACAGATGGTAACAATTTCAAGTGAAGGGCTAACTTGTTACGGCAGGCTCTTCATCATTCCTGTTACCTAAAGTGAATGTATTTTTGATTTATGTTGTATTTTTGTCAGATTAACTCCATACAGAGCTTACAGCGGGTTGTAGCTGACCCTTCTCTCCTCTGCAGTATACAGAAAACACAGAATGCATTCTCTAAAGGTTGGCTTATTTAACTGTATCAAGAATTAACAGTTGCTTTCTTTATTCTTGATTGTCAAACACATTTGGTGATACAGGTTATAGATGAGTTAATTTGTTAAAAAAATTAATTCTCAGTAGGTTAAAACTAAAGATGTAAATTACTGTTTATCATTTTGGATTTCAGTGTGAAGAAATGTGGATGTTTTATTCCCCTGTATTTAACATTTTTATGCACTAGCTGTACTCAATGCCATTTTATTCTGCTTTCAGTGAGGGTAGGGGACAGAACTCTATGCTATGTTTTGCCACACTTGAGTACCGAGCTGAAAGTTGACTCACACAAGAGAGAACTGGACTATATGTACCTACATAAGGATGACAACATCTCTATACAAAAATTACATTTAACACAGAGGTGAGTACGGTGATAACTTAGATGCTAGTCATCCTAACATTTCACATTCTGAATAGATTTTTAGCTCACCTCAACGAAATTGGGGGAGCTTATGTAATACCCTCGGTGTCCCAGGTTAAGTTTTTGGAGCAGATTTGTTTTCAAGTACTTCTATGCCTAAATAACTCAGAGATGAATGGAGGATGCTTCTAGTGTGTTCCATTGTACCAGTCAAGGTTTCAAATGCTACAAATTCAACTAAAGAATGACCAGGTTAATGTTTTTGGAGCAGGTCTCATTTCCAAGTACCTGTAACTATTATAAGCCCTCTAGCTATTGATCAAACTTGCATGGATGATACATCTAAGGATGCACACTACCACTCTTGCTACAGATGCTGGATCTGACCATCATTTTCTGGATGTGAAACCAGGTTAAAGTTTTTGGAGCAAATCTCATTTTTTAAGTAACTCTAAACCCTTATGTTGACAAAACCACTCTTGCTACGGATGCTGGATCTGACCATCATTTTCTGGATGCTAAACCAGGTTAAAGTTTTTGGAGCAGATCTCATTTTCAAGTAATTCTAAGCCCTTATGTTGACAAAACTTGTATGGATGATACACCTAAGGATGCACACTACCAGACTTGCTTTGGGTGATGGATCTGACCTTCATTTTCCTATTGATAGATTTAATAGTGACTAGTTATTATGTACATCTGTATCTCTGATTGCCTTTTCTGATTGCTTTTTCTCACTGGTTATAGCCCCTTTCTGTTTGGTAACAAATTTATAAAAGAGGTCTGATTTATTGATCTCTTAAAAGCTTTGAAATTTTCCATAAAGTACATGTTACAGTTTAAATATGGGTCAATGTATTCAGTAATGAAGCATCATGTTTACTTAGGGTCAGCTATAATAATACTTATAATAATTAATTATAATAATTAAATTACTTAACTTTGAGATTTAGTGAAGTGATGGAAAATTTCAAGCTTAAGAAATTGATTTATAGTAGGGATGTCAAATCGGTCAATTTTTGCTAATCGGTTACTCGGATGTTTTACCGATCGAGTACCCAGGTACTCGGTAAAAATGAAAATACAAGTGTGTTAATTTTCTTGAGCCACGTTAAGCTCTGTTAAACCCCAATGTTGTTTTTATCACGTTTATAAATGTATATAGACAATCGAGTGCAAGGGAAATGATTTTTGGTACTGAAGTTATTTATAAAATAAACACAGAAGACACAATTAATGCATCAAAAAATTACAAATGGTTTACAGTTCTTGTTTAATCTATTTCATCAATGCAAAAAGGAGGACAGTCTGTTGCGCACGTTTGTGGTGATTAGACTAGCGAAAGGGAAGGAACGGACGTTGTTGGGATCGCTAGTCTAATATTATTCCATGTGTTGGTTGTTTAATTCCCCCATACACTAAACTTACTACATTTTTTAATCTTTAGTTATTTCTAAATATTTCTTCACTTTTTATGTGGTTAGCTTCATTTCTATGCATTTCCAACCCTGCCTTACATTAATTAAGTAATTTAAAAATGATTTGAAAATAATAGATCATACGTAAACGATGTTCACTGAAAACAATCAATAAAGCCATCCAAAAATTAAGGACCACAATAGGTGAGAATAGCTGTGTACCAGATGATTGGTCACTAATTACTGTATAAACACAGCCACAAATGAAAACCCCTGATTTAAAAATCCAAGTTAATTAGATAGCGATCACGTGACCCTGTGACGTCAAAGGCGACAATGGCTGATCAGCTCCACGTTAATCTTACGAAAATATACGCGATACAACCTGAATTTTCTGCGTTGTGGATGACCAAATCGCTTATTTTAACAGGTGTAGACAATGACACGCTAATTACCCTATGCATATTTAAGTTATTTTTTGATAAGTTTTTGATAAAAATATGTACTTTGAAATAAGAAAAAATACACTTCCGAGTAACCGAGTACCATTTTTAGTATTCGATACTCGGATGTTCGATCGAGTACCCGGTGAACCGGGTACTCGTTGACATCCCTAATTTATAGATTTCAAAAACTACACTTTCTGTTGGAACAAAAGTATATTTTTTGGTTGAGTCTCCACTGCAGTTATCTCATCTGTCATAACACACATACATTTTATAGGGAAATGATGACGGTAAGAGTAGAGTGGCGAGTGTCTCCTGGAGTGCTGATGTTAGAGGGGGCTCCATTCTCCTTACGTCTGGCTGTTCTTATAACCTCCCTGTCCCCACTCAGGGCCTATCTTCACTCCAGCTGTCAGGTGTTCAAAATCAACCAATCAAATAGGATTAAAAGGGAGGTAAGAAGTACAATCAAATAGGATTAAAAGGGAGGTAAGAAGTACAATCAAATAGGATTAAAAGGGAGGTAAGTAGTACAATCAAATAGGATTCAAAGGGAGGTAAGAAGTACAATCAAATAGGATTAAAAGGGAGGTAAGTAGTACAATCAAATAGGATTCAAAGGGATATAAGTAGTACAATCAAATAGGATTCAAAGGGAGGTAAGTAGTACAGTCAAATAGGATTCAAAGGGAGGTAAGTAGTACAATCAAATAGGATTCAAAAGGAGGTAAGTAGTACAATCAAATAGGATTCAAAGGGAGGTAAGTAGTACAATCAAATAGGATTCAAAGGGAGGTAAGTAGTAGGGTGAGTTAACCATGCATCGGACACATACCTTGCTTCGGACAACTTCAAGCAATTAACTTTCATTGAACCTGAGTCTCCCCGTGTTTTTACTTGTTTCTGTCTTAAAGATGAAGAATTAAACTTTTTAATGATGTCGATTTTTAGGTCACCTGAGTTACTCAGGTGACCTATTGCTATCTCTTTTTGTCCATCGTCGTGCAACGTGCGTCGTCCGTCGGTCGTAAACTTTTGAACATTTTCAGCTTCTTCTCTGGAACCAGTGGACCAATTTCAACCAAATTTGGCATATAGCATCTATGGGTGAGGGGGAACAAAAATTGTGAATTTCATGGTCCCTGCCCCATGGGGCCTGAGGGGTGGGGCTAAAACCACCAAAAATAATGCAATCTTTAAAAATCTTCTTCTTTACTCCTGGACATCAAGCAGTCAAACTGTTGGCATTATTGTAATAAGCATTGAGCCCTCTACCAAAATTGTGAAATTCATGGCCCCAGGGTCAGGGGTTCTGGTGCTAGGGTGGGGGCTATATAGGTCATATAGTGAAAGTGCATTATTTCTTTGAAAATCTTCTTCTCTGCTCCTGGGTATTAAATAAACTAGCTAAGTACATAGTTATGAAGAGCAAGAGTGCCTCTTCTAAAATTGTGAAATTCATGGCCGCAGGGTCAGGGGTTCTGGTGTTAGGGCGGGGCTCTATTGATTATATAGTGAAAATGCATTAATTCTTTGAAAATCTTCTTCTCTGCTCCTGGATATTAAATAAAGTAACTAATTACATAGTTATGATGAGCAAGAGTGCCTCTTCCAAAATTGTGAATTTCATGGCCCCAGGGTCGGGGTTCTTGTGTTAGAGCGGGGCTCTATTGATTATATAGTAAAATTGCATTAATTCTTTGAAAATCTTCTTCTCTGCTCCTGGATATTAATTAACTAAGTACATAGTTATGATGAGCAAGAGTGCCTCTTCCAAAATTGTGAACTTCATGGCCCCAGGATCAGGGGTTCTGGTGTTAGGGCGGGGCTCTAATGAATATATAGTGAAAATGCATTAATTCTTTGAAAATCTTCTTCTCTGCTCTTGGATATTAAATAAACTAACTAAGAGCATAGTTATGATGAGCATGGCTGCCTTTTCAGAAATTGTGAATTTATGGCCCCCTGGGTCAGGGGTTCTTGTTTAGAGCGGGGCTCTCTTGATTATACAGTAAAATTGCATTAATTCTTTGAAAATCTTCTTCTATGCTCCTGGATATTAAATAAACTAAGTACACAGTGACGATGAGTTATGATGAGCATGGTTGCCTCTTCCAAAATTGTGAATTTCATGGCCCCTTGGTCAAGGGTTCTACTCTGTTCTTGGGTATTATTCCAACAAAGGAAGTGCATGGTTGTGATAAGGAAGAATGTTTCTTCCAAAATTGTGAAATTCATGGCCCCTGGGTCAGGGGTTCTGGTGAAGAGGGAAGGGGACTCTATTGATTATGTAGTGAAAATGCATAATTTCTTTCAAAATATTTTTTTCTACTACTGGTTATAAAGCAAAGAAACAAGTGTATAGTTATGATGAGCAAGGGTGCTTCTTCCAGAATTGTGAGTTCATGACCCTGTTGCCAGATGTTCTGGTGTAAGGGTGGGGCTTTATTTATTTAATATTAGAGTGAAAATGCATTTCTTTGAAAATCTTCTATGCTTCTGGGTATATTCGAGGCAAACAGAGTAGAAGTTTTAATATGCAAAGGTATTTTTACCAGAATTTTGAACACCTGGACCATTTAGTCAAGTGTTCTGGTCCTGGCCAGGGCTCTATTAACTTGTATTCTGCTGAGCAAAGTTATTCTCCTTTACCATTCACCTTTGATAATTAATCACTGTAAACAATGTATTTGAAAGGTTAATAGAATACAAGAATTATGCAAGAATATTTATTGTATAATACAAAAAGTACTTTCATAGTTTTAATGATCAGGTAGGCTTGGAAATAATAGATGAATAAAAATAAGACAAAAATAACATCTTTTTAAATTTTCTTCAAAAGCCAAGAGAGGCCAATGTGAGAAGTTATAATATGGGGTTAAAAAATAGACATTTTGTTAAATAGACTGCATGGTAATAGTGATAAATGGGGGACAGATAGATACTAGACCAATTATTTTGTTGATGCTTTAATATCATACTATTTTTCTTGCTTTTGGGCAATAAAGCTTCATTTATCAGTTTATGGATCCTCTAAATTGTTGTATTGTACTCAGGTGACCGTTAAGGCCCTTGGGCCTCTTGTTATTTTCATGTTGTGATAAAAATACCACAAGAATGGCCTTGAAATTACATCATATTTTGCATCATCAAAGGGGAGTAACCAGAATTTTACGATTTTGCAATTTTTAGAGTTGTCGTTCTTTTAAATAGTCTAAGACGTCAATGGAACGGGTCGGACTTTGGTAAAATTTGCCAGTGATTGATAATATTACAGAAATTTTTCAAAAATTTTACTTCAATATTTGTTTAATATATTTTAGAGTTGTTTTTAACTAGTATGTTTATTTCATCGTACATCGGAAACAAATTAACCATGCATCGGACACTCTCCGATGCATGGGTAATCACTTCCATTTTCATGTAAAACCCAGATGACAGCTGTTTTTTACGGAAATAGAAAATAGAAACTCTAAATTTCGGTGAAAATACAAATTATCGATATATGACGACTAGAAGTGGACTCAATTTATTTCTTTAAACTAGATGATTATAACCCGTGAGACAAAGGCGCGAGTTGCCATATTACTAGCATTGTAAAGCCTATCTAAGGCGATGTGATGCAACTAAAATATCTTCATATTTGAGGATCGAAGTAGTCATTCAAATTTAATTAGAAGGTTAATTTTTAAATAAAAGATAAAAATGGTTCGATATCACTAATTTTAAAGCACCAAGATCAAGGTATGATATTTTTCTGGTTTAAATATCGTATGTCTGATGCATGGTGAATATTGTCTGATCCATGGTAAATTCTGACATTTCGAATCGGTTTCTAATGATATTTTCTCAATAAATAGGGCACGATTATGTCAAAAATTTATATTTTAACCACATACTACATGTTAAGTTCCATTTTGATAATATTCGGTCGGTAGTGATATCACTAGAACTTGTTGAAGTGCAAGGGTGTCCTATGCATGGTGAATTCACCCTACAGTCAAATAGGATTCAAAGGGACGTAAGTAATACAATCAAATAGGATTCAAAGGGAGGTAAGTAGTACAGTCAAATAGGATTCAAAGGGAGGTAAGTAGTACAATCAAATAGGATTCAAAGGGAGGTAAGTAGTACAATCAAATAGGATTCAAAGGGAGGTAAGTAGTACAGTCAAATAGGATTCAAAGGGAGGTAAGTAGTACAATCAAATAGGATTCAAACGGATATAAGTAGTACAATCAAATAGGATTCAAAGGGAGGTAAGTAGTACAGTCAAATAGGATTCAAAGGGAGGTAAGTAGTACAATCAAATAGGATTCAAACGGATATAAGTAGTACAATCAAATAGGATTCAAAGGGAGGTAAGTAGTACAATCAAATAGGATTCAAACGGATATAAGTAGTACAATCAAATAGGATTCAAAGGGAGGTAAGTAGTACAATCAAATAGGATTAAAAGGGAGGTAAGAAGTACAATCAAATAGGATTCAAAGGGAGGTAAGTAGTACAATCAAATAGGATTCAAAGGGAGGTAAGTAGTACAATCAAATAGGATTCAAAGGGAGGTAAGTAGTACAATCAAATAGGATTCAAAGGGAGATAAGTAGTACAATCAAATAGGATTCAAAGGGAGGTAAGTAGTACAGTCAAACGAAGTCTTTGGAATCTTAAAGTTTACCTTGTTATAAACAAAATTCTTTCTGTATAAGGAACATTGTACTGAAAAGTTTTCAAAGGGATCGATTCACAGAAGTTTCCTTTTAACTGAGATTTCCTTATAAGCGAGTTCTTTATAACCACATTTTACTGTATTTTAAAAAACATAAGGTTGTGAATCTACTGTTGCCATGTATCTTTAATGATTTAATATAAATATTGACTGGATGCGGATAGATTTATACAGTCAAACCTTGTTATCTCGAACTCGATGGGACCGAGAAAAAACTTCGAGATATCCGAGGATTCGAGATGTCGAGGGTAAAATACTGAAAGAATAAGTGTTTGTGACTTCACAATCACTTCGACATATCCATGGTATTCAAGATATTACTGTTCGAGATACTGAAGTTCAACTGTACATGACAGCAATGGTTTTAACATGATTTAGGTTTTAGGTAAAAAAAAACCATACAGTTGAACCTCTGTATCTCGAACACAGATATCTCGAATACCATGGATATATCAAAGTCGATTTAAAGTCCCAACTGCTTATTCCTTAAGTATTTTACCCTGGATATCTCGAATCTTCGGATATCTCGAAGTATTTTCTCGGTCCCTTTGAGTTCAAGATAACGATGTTTGACTGTATATGTTTGATGTCTCACTTAATCATATGACACAGGATTTGACCACACTGTGGCATGTACGTCAAAGTATTCAGCAGAACTTTGAGGAGACGACGGCCAAACTTTGGTGGAACCACCTCAGGAGGGGGCTGATTAACGGACTGCTTACAGCGGAGCTAGGAGTGTGGACATCAGGGGCAGATAACCTTTGTAGGTGAGTAAATTGACTGGGAAAATAAGCCAATTTAAGGGAGTCTGCCATCAACAGTGGACAGAAACAGGTCTTCAATGTTCAGTTGCTTATAGATCATGCTGTTGGTCCTTAAATATATAATGGTTTTCTGTGTTACATGTTAACAAACAACTGCTCGAGATACAATATTCCAGCAATTTTAATTAGTGTACCAATTGCAGCACAAAATGAGACACAGATCATTGTTGAAGAACAATTATATGTACTCCTCAGGAAACATGTTTATCTGTTTTAGGTTTTTTTTCTCTTAGCAGAGCATTAATCTTAATCTTTTTTAACCCTGAATTGAAATAATTTTCAGTAAATATGCAAATTATGGTTTAAATTTTCTTGAATACTGTGAGTCGTTCTGTTTAGCATATATTTATGTATTTTATCTTGCAGTAAATTTTTCTACATTCTTCTGCCAGGTATTAGAGCTTAACATATTATGCATGTACATTTTTTATTTGACCAGATGCAGCAGGTGCTTTCAGAGTCTGTCTGTGGATATAGTATTTACAAATGAATTTCAGCCAATCATATTAAAGGTAAACAAAAGGGCAGAAAATTTCAGTGAAATGGATGCTGTGTGACTTTATGTGTATGTTAAGAATAATAAAACAGTAATTGTATCCTTTCTTAAACATTTGGCATGGGAAACTTTTTATTCCTTTTGACTTTTCTGAGTCTCCAGTGTTTTTTTCAAAGTACTTTTGGTCTGGGGCCAGGGGTCCTCAAAATTAGGAATTCCAGCATCTATTTAGCTAAATTGGGAATTTTCAATTGCTGATGTCTTTTTCTGTATTACACAGGTTGAGCCTTCAGATTACAGAGTGATGCCGCAGGACATTAAGAATGATGTGGTAATGTTAACGTCATTCAAAGAACCTGTATATGAGGATGTTGTGAAAGAAGCTGGGAATATTCAACCCCAGAAAATGGTGAGCCGGATTGCCAAGAACAAAACAATACTGTACATGTATGTGTACTTAAAAAAGCAGGCTTTATATTTTAGCGGCTCTAGCGCAGACAACGATGCGCTTATTCATGAATACTGCTAAGAGATCATTTATAAAATAATGCAATATACGGCACAGACATGTATAGTGCTAATTCATGATTACGCCAACAACTCCATACCCAGGGATTACTCTAAATTTTGAATACGCAAATTTATGTACACGTACAGTATTTAAGTTTATATTTTAAACCTATGGATTTATTTATTAGATAATTTTTTTCCATCAGGTGAGTTTTGTGTAATATATCACTACATATTCTCATTTAATTGTTGTGACTAATTTTCTGTTGAAGTATAATGCCTCTGAATATTTTGATATAATTTAATTTTGTTTGTATTCTAGCCTCTGATTGGTTAATATCCAAAAAGGAACACAAATTATTTCTGTATAACCTGGTTTGGTATGGGGACACCCCCCCGACAACCAGTTGAATCATCTGTATCCATAAAATCCTCTCATTTCCAGTCCTCGGGATTCATGGAAAATTCCAGATTTAATAAATGTACCTTTAACTTCAAACAATAATTCGATCTTACCACATGTAAACAAACAACAAGGCTGCTAGGCCTATGTATCAGTTTTTACCTCCCCTCGCTTCCCATCACTTCTATTACTACGGTTGTATTATTGAGCGGCAAATTTGAACTAATAAAAAGCAACGAAATTTTACACCCATAGTTATTTAATGATTTTAAAATTAAATTATAAGGAATGACTCTAATTCTTGGCCAAATTATTCGAGTATAACCTGGTTTGGGTCAGTTTAGGCTGTTTTATAATCCGCTTCGCAGACTATAAAGCATAAACTGACCCAAACCAGGTTATACTCGAATAATTTGGCCAAGAATTAGAGTCATTCCTAAATGAACATTAAATCCATGAAATTCACTTTACACCTGTTTATATTTATATCTTTTCTTTGATAGCATTGCAGATCAGAGTTATCTCCCTGCCTACAGGAATCTGATCTGACCTACTTATTGGACACTAGAAGGGAATTCAGGGCACCTGTAGATTTCCTCAGAGTAAGGATATTCTAATGTTTTATGAAAAACAATCCATTTATCATTGTTTAGTTAGTAAAGAAAGAGACTTGGGTACTGAAGTGCACTGGTTGTACACATAGGTCATGTAAGCAATCTTATTAGAGTTAGTTATATACTTAATCCATCCCCTGTAGACTGCTTTCTCATACTTAGTTTATGAATAAATATGACAAAAGTATAAAAGTATAGGATATGACAATATGTAATATAAATTTCCCACATGTAAATTTTCTTGTATACAGTATTTCTTCATTGGAGAAGTCATGAATTATACTCAAGAGCAGGGCATGTTAATAATTAAAGGGTAAAAACAAAAAAGTTATTTATTCTATTGAATGAATTACATGTATATAACTTCTCTTTGTGCCAGCTCTACAACATCAGCAGACCTACAGTATCAGGTCTACAGATAAACTGTCAGTGTCTATTCTTTTTAGCTGTACCCTACAGTATCAGGTCTACAGATATTTATTCTATTGAATGAATTACATGTATATAACTTCTCTTTGTGCCAACTCTACAACATTAGCAGATAAACTGTCAGTGTCTATTCTTTTTAGCTGTACCCTATAGTATCAGGTCTACAGATAAACTGTCAGTGTCTATTCTTTTTAGCTGTACCCTACAGTATCAGGTCTACAGATAAACTTTCAGTGTCTATTCTTTTTAGCTATACCCTACAGTATCAGAGGACTACAGTCATTTAATGGATCATTTCCTCCACCTATTCTTCATGGATCAAAGAGGTTCTAAATTTGTCAATGTCACCGGACACCCACCCAGCTGTCATTTTACTCCCGAGGTACACCCAGTCATAGAGGAGGCAGAGAGGCTCTATCAGCAGAGCTCTAAAGGGAGACAACTCACACCAATACAAAACAAGCCAATGTTGTGAGTGCACTGCAGACTATGTCATGTTTTTTTCTCTCTTTTTATATGTCTAATGCTGAGCAGAATTGATACATGTATCCATTCTTTCTTCCTAACCAGTTTATGTCAAGGATTTATATGATATTTAACATCACAAAACCTTGCACTTACAATTATATTACAAAGGAGAATATTTTATCCACAAACTCTCCATATATTCTTATGTCATTATAATTTTGTTGACACCTGTTCTGTAGACAGTCTTTTACCTAGGTTTATTATTTCAGCTTGTCAAGGAAACTTGATGCCCAGTTTTCAGAAGATAACCTTATTAATGAAGATGTAATGTCCACATCAGGTAAATACTATTAAAAATAAATAGTTTAAAAATCCAGTGAGAGAATTGAAAGTAGCAGGTTGTCAGAGTAGTATATTATAATTAAAATTATTCTCAGACTGATCATATTTGTTGTTTTTGTAGGGAAGGTGACACCAAATTGTAGCTCAGGTAATTCACTATTAATATTTTTTTTACTGCTGGATAGTTAGATCAAGAAGACAAAATAGAGCTGCTATGCACTTAGAGGATTTACAGTTGTAATGTTTAAACTGTCACAGGGAACATTTTGTTTATATTCAAAGTAATTATTTTCTTTGTGATACTTACAATAAAAAGTAAAGGTGGGTCCTGTTAATATTAAGATCTTTATTCTTCATTTTCTTTGAGACAATTCTTTTTTTATTTTATTTTATTTTATTTTTTGTGAAATTCTTTTAACTTTAGAGCTCTAAGACAGTGACGCCAGTAAGTTTATGTCAACTATTTGTTGAAATGTCAGAATTAAAAATAAGAGGCTACTGCTATCAATTGATAAAACAGGACACATTTTTATATTAGGTTGTGTCTCTTTCCTTTAATTTACTAAAGCCTTTTAAAACCATTAAATCCAAAAATTACATGAAGTATGCATTATTTTTTCTTAACTTCATCTTTAGATCAACAAGATTTGTCGCTGTTATCCACAGTCACTTTATCCCCCTCCTCTGTCCAGCTATCCCCCGAGTTTGACCCTCAGCACACAATGTATGAGGCCCATGCAGACTATAACACCATTGTCTTCTCTATAACGGCAATTACCAAGCATTGTAACACCACGGCAAGATTTCATACACCAGACGGGGAAGACAGGTACATGTATAAAACTCAAATCATAACCATTTTGTCTTTTCCTCTTTTGTTAAAGCTGTACTTCATTACTACAGTGAAACATAAATATAACTTTCTCTAACAAACTTATAAAGAATGTATGCTTGTACTGAAGCAACTTTTCATCTCCAAGCAATTATAATTATGAACTGGATAAGATAAAATAAGTAAATGTTTGTAGCAAAGATACATGTATAAGGATTGTTATTGTATTTTCTATGACCTGATGAACATTTATATTTTTATGGTATTCATACAAAAAAATTTAAAGTTTCTAACTTTTAGCTGAAGTAATTTAAATGAGCATTTTAAGACTTTATATGTATTGTTTTGTAGTTCTATGAATTACACCCTTGGTTTAGGTCTGTGTGTTTTAGGGCTTTATGTATTGTTTTGTAGCTCTATGAACTACACCCTTGGTTTAGGAGAGAACAGAATCAGGATACATGTAGTGATGACATCAACAACAGAACCACAAATTGTCAACACCTACGTTATCCTGATCTGGAGACAGGGGAGGGGGATTCCCCATCTCCGCCCCTCGTTAAGAGTCTGTCAGCTTACTCAGGTCAGATTTCATATACCAACAATTTTGTTTTTGAAAATCAATTTAATTTTAATTTTTGAAATATTTTTAAACCTTTGGATTAAAGTCTTAATTTTGAAATTCTTTTAAAGTGATATTTCTTAATTGCCATACTATAAAATAACATATTTTCAAGGGGTCGGATGTTCATGGCTTGAGGGAAATCTGTGGGTTTTGGGGGGTTTGATTTCATGGAATAAGAATTGTTAAGTTGTTATGTATATGACAATTTACATTTTGTGGAGGACATGAATCCGTGGGTCTCTTCATACGTCGAAAACCATGAAATAAAACCCCCACAAAAATTAGTGATTTCACAGTTTGTCAAATCAAAATGATGATTGTGTTTTGGGGGGCATTGAAATAAGAAAAGCAGATTGAAGTGTGTTTGATTCCTGTAGGATTGTGAGCTGAAGTGTGTTTGATTTTTTGTAGGATTGTGAGCTGAAGTATTCCCCCAGTGAGAGTTGTGGATTAAGAGCTGTTACAAGGTTTAGATCCTGGAGGTTGTACCAGAAATACACTTCACAACTTCCTGTTTGTCAACAGTCGGATTACCAGGAAAGTGAGCAGTATAACTAGTTTGCGGGATTATTGTTCAATTTGACAAAATTAATATGAGTTGATATGACGTACACCTCAATCAGTAGTGGATTGCATTGAATAGGGGCTGAAGTCCTGATCATGTGATTGGCAGCTAACTGGGAAGGTTTTGACAAAGTTGAAGACAAAATTGGAATTCTGTTTGTCCTTTTCATTTTATACTTGCTCAGGAGACAATTTTATGTGTCATTTTCTAATTTTGCTCTTGAAATTAACAATTTGAAAGCAATTAGAGAAAAAAAAATGTTTGGACCATTGTGTCAAAGTTCATAGTCTGTCTTTGTTTGAAATGATTGCAGACCATGAATAATTTTAGAATTAGTTGATAACATTAATAAAGAGTCTGATGATTTTAGGATTTAATGGTGACAGTCAAATTAACACATGTACAGATTTATGATAACTATCTAAATATGTATGATCTGCTCTATTGTTCCCTAATATTACTCTACCAGAAATGATATATCAGAAAATTTAATTTTTAGTTTTATGAGAAAATTCTGAATTAACAAGTAATAAATGAGTAGTAATTAAAGCAATGAAGAAATATAGCTGCATGTAATTATACCTGTATTTAAAATTTAAACATCATGATAGTATACAATGTATGTTTGCTACCATGAAATCATCAGTTTACTTTGTAGGAGAATTTATTCATAGATGTATCTGTTTAACTTTCAGCCTCCTGGTTTGTTCCATGTGAAGACTGTAAAGACCCACATTCATGTCACTGGAGGAGTGCTACATGGCAGACAAACATTTGTCAGACTAAACATCTGAGTGACCTAGATATTAGTTCCTGTTTTAAAGGAAGAAAAGTGCTTTTTATTGGAGACTCAACAAATAGGGGGATTATGCATTATATTCTGGAGAAGATAAATGGTTCTCTGACAGAATGGGACAAAACTCATAATCTTAAGCTCTACAAAAGTATTAATGGTAATCAAACAGATCTGAGCTTTTCATATTACCCACAATTCTGGTTACCTACCAATCACAGACCAGCATTTGACAAGGCAGTATTCCAGCTGATCAAATGGTATATTGATTTTTCGTACTTTTAAATTGTAACATAAAATATTTATGAAGTAAGTAAGAGTATCAGACATAAAAAGACCTGAATTGGTGATCACATGGGACTTCACATCAGCACCCATAGGAGATATTGTTTATGTCATTGTTGTTTGTCAGTCCCACTGACACTAGATCAAGTTTTGGTCCTGTCTTTTTAACCCTCTACTTCAATGAATTCAATCTTTAGTATGTTTTTTTTTCTGGTAGGCTATTTTTATCATTTTTACTTCACTTAAGGATAAATAACACAAACATTAAAAATCCTGCTTGAATAGGTACCTTTCTGACTAAAGAAATGATATCTGTTTAGTTAAACAACTTTATGTTTGACCTGCAAGCTACATAATTTGGTGAAAAGTGGGAAAATGTAACTTTACAGCTAAAAATAATTTTTGAAAAAAATTAGAAATATATGAAGTTTTGTTACTGTAAAGTTTCTAGGAACATTTTCAAGAGTATATTTTTTTCATTTAAGGCAATTAAATTTTTCTAATTAGATTTCGATTGAAAAAAAATATTGAAAAAATAGCAATGTATCTCTTCTGTATGGGAGATACGAAACTTTGTTTTTGGTAATTATCTTTTTAAGGTTATATCCTAAAGGTTAAAATCACCATTCAAGGAGATACTGAAATTGCAATGTGTTATTTTATGTTGTTGCTCATTACTATACCTAAACTTTTGTTGTGAACTTGAATTTGAATGTATATTTTGTAACTAGGACGAAGCCATTAAGTGATGACAATAGGACAGTGTTAGTTGTTGGGGGTGTTCATTGGTTGGCAAGTCAACATCTAGATCTCATCATCAAAGCTTTAAAGAGGTAACATAGAATCCTATAGCTTAACTTAGGGGTACTATAAAGTTAACATGAAGATATCATCATCAAAGCTTTAAAGAGGTAACATAGAATCCTATAGCTTAACTTAGGGGTACTGACAAGTCAACATCTAGATCTCATCATCAAAGCTTTAAAGAGGTAACATAGAATCCTAGCTTAACTTAGGGGTACTATAAAGTTAACATGAAGATATCAACATCAAAGCTTTAAAGAGGAAACATGTACTTCTAGCTTAACTAAGGGGTACTGACAAGTCAACATTTAGAGCTAATCATCAAAGCTTTAAAAAAGATTAAATCTGACTTTTCTTTCAACATTTAGCCTAAAATGGAGGAAATATCTTCTTCCTTGTCAGAGAAATAACGTAAAATTTAGAAAGAGCAAAGTAATTAAAGAAGAAATGTATTCGAATTAATGGTTATCATTATTTCCAGAGAAAATTTATCCCACATCAAGCTGATTGTAAAAGGATTAGGTTCGGGATTCCACCAGCATGTCAATGGTGTTCACTATCTACCACAGGTATTGTCATCTTCCCAGCAGTTGTAAATCCAACTTAGGGGCAGGCTTTGAGTTTGATACTTTAAAAACAGTTCATAGTTACTATTCATATGTGATGGATTACTGTAAAATCACTTATTTTCGTGGGGTCAAATTTTCGTGGTTTGAGGAAAAATTACTGGTTTGAGGGGATTTGATTTCGTGGTAAAATGAGAAACATTGTATTGCAATGTGCGGTTTTCATATTTCATGGGGGATATGAATTCGAGGGTATCTTCATACCACGATAACAACAAAAATTAAGTCCCTGCGAAAATTAGTGATTTCACAGTAAGTAAATACTCAAGAATACTCTTGTATTAGGCACATGAAATATTTACTAATATTACTCACAATAGGTGGATTAGCATTAGTGAATCGTAATACATTCAGAACATTATGAAATATTTGCTGAATGATTGGAATATCCTCTCTAATAATTCCAAGGTCAGATTCTAGCTAATCTAATACTGTGGTAGTATGAACATGATTTTAATACCAGGGCATGTGGTAGAGTGGCAGAGGGAGTCTGTTAGAACTGATCTAGTTTACTGCATGTTTGACAGGACAAAAACATATATCTATAGTATACAGTTAAAGTATATCATTGAGGGAGTTAGCAAGATTCCAGTTCCCCAAGGCCAGGATTATTTCCCGAGGCAAAGCCAAGGGAAATAGTCCTGGTCGAGGGGAACTGGAATCTTGCTAACTCCTGCAATGATATACTTTTAACTGTTTTATTATACCGATACAAACATAAAATTTAGAGGACTCAGATAGCGTGATTTCAAAGCATGATTTCAAAGCAGGGATTAGCTCACTGAACTAATACATGGGGATTAGTCCATTCATTTATCATACCAATGTAAAAATAAAATCTAGAGGATTACAGATAACTGGGAATTTGCTTTTGAAGCAGGGATTAGCTCACTTGACTAATGCACAGGGATTCGTACATTCATAAAGATTTCTAGGGAATTAGTCACATCAAATGATCTTATGTTACATGTATATAGGGAAAATACCAGTAGAGGTATAATAACAAAGTCTGTAGAAGTCTCACAATCTATAACAAAGATTAAATTCAAACAAATTTGAAAAAAATTACATCAAACTCTTTATTTTTCAGACCGACATACAGAAACTTGTACTTAGAGAAAGAGAATTAGAAAAACATGGCAGGAAGTTAGGGTTCGAATTCATCAAGACGTTTAATCTGACAATGGCCAGATTCAAAGATTTTCTACAGGGAAAATGTGCCTGTCATTTCCATAAGGTAATTGTATGAGAAAATCTAATTTAAGGGGATCAGATGAACGTTTGTGATATAAGATTCTGCATTCATGTATTTGTTGATCAGATTCAAGAAAATATGTGTAGAACAATGAGTTTGTACAATTCTTAGTCAAGGATAAAAGGACATGCACTGGGTAAAAAATGGCAAGGTGTATGTGAGCATTGTTGACATGGATTTATTGTTTCTTGCCACATCTTTTTGTTTTGGAAAGATATTTTCAAAACAGGCAAAAAGGTTTTCATCGTATCGTCTATGGAAAAGCTTATTAAGTTACTTAATTCATTTCTCCATGGAGTCCTTTGCATGATCTTTTGTTGCATCCGGATCTAATGTGATATCTGAATACTGAAATGGTTTACAGCCATGCTATATAAGTCCACAGATAAAGCACTGCTGCTAGGGTCATACCTTATGAAATGTCTGAGTTTAAATAATTTTAATGTATTGAGTTTAAATAATTTTAATGTATTGGGTATTACAATGGGCCAGGATGTAATTAGTGGCAATAGAGAACTTAATATGAAAGCACACTTTGAAAAATGATACACTAACAAAGAAATCATGTGATATTTTAAAGGAACATTATCATATATACTATTCAGTTAATCTTATTATGTGCTGTATAGGAAGTTAGAGAAAGGAGTCTGTCAAATGGGCTGATTTGAGAATTAAAAACTACACAGTAACTGCTAGACAGTGTAAGTATTTGTAACTTACATTATTCTGTGTTAATCCTGAAAAGAAGACATTTATTTTTGCAGCTTTCAGAAGTCAAGAATCCTGGCTCAGAGAAAACAGTTTACCATGTTCAGGGTGAAATAAATGAAATCTACTCACAAATGGTTATAAATAGCATATGTAAAAATGAAACTTAATAAAAAAAAATGACAAGGTGATGCATTGTTCATTGTACCTGGAGCTGAAGAAATCAATTCTGTGAGGCATGGAAGAGGCAATGTCCTCATAAAAAAGAAATCAGGAGTCTAATAACAGGTTTGATGTCCGGACAGCTATTCTTTTTACTGCTTTGTTTACAAAATATTATTTTCAGAGTTTAAAAAATGAAGCTAATTTGATACCACATTGTTAATCATGGTAAAAGTTCAAGAAGGAATCTTCTGCTGAAATACATTTTATTAAATTAATGGACTTTTATTTTTAAATGCACCTACTGTTTTGTAATCCTTGATATTTCAAATGCCATTAAAGTGTTATTTGATTAATGTTAATGGTTACAATTTAACTACTGTAAACCTCATTATACAATTGTTATGATTTATTATGAGAATTTAATAAAATGTTTTTGGAAAACCTACTTTGCCTTTTATAAAAGGGAGAGTATATTAAGGTTCCCGGATTGCACCAAAACTCAATTCTGTAGGAATGGTAAATATACTTAAATCTCAACTACATCAACATTAAAATAATACCAAATAAATTATATACTTGTATATAATTAAATCACCTCTATCAAAACTGAGATTGGCTTTTTATGAAGGAATCACTAATTTGTTTGGTATGCCAGGGCATTAATTACCATTGGAAGCATGGAATTAGTATAACTAGCTAAACAATTCAAGATATAAGAAAGCTAAATAAAAATCACCAGAGGAACGGCAATTTCTCTGTGTGACAGATCAAATCATGCATCCAAATTAAGTGTCAGGAAATATGGAGATAACGAACAGTATCCAAACTCAAAGTCCATTTAAACCATACAAATCGGGAGCAGAGCAAACACGGATCTCCAAAAACATCAGAGGTAGGATCAGGTGCCATGGAGGAGTGAGCATCCCCTGCCGACCTGTCACACCCGCCGTGTACTCCTTGTCATGATCGGTAAATAACGGAAAAATCCGTCGACAATTCAGTGTGTAAATAATGGCCTAACAATTAGTATGAAAAATGTCAGTCAGCATATGACTTAATGATTAATTGTATTTGCTGACACGATCATTGTATCGACCATAGAACTTAACGAAACGATGACTTTAAATGAGACTGTTGATATTCTTGTTTGTCAATAACTTAACTCGTTTAAGAAACGTATCGAATCAACTGAGAGATATACACCCCATATGCAGGTGATAACGTTATATTGCTGCATAAGTAAGGGAAGTTGATTAAAAAGTTAAAGTCATCACGTTTATCATAAAGCTTTGTTGTTAGATTACCATTAACGTCTTTTCTAGTAAAATATTCAAAATGAAACAGATGTGTCAGACTCTGTGGTATCTTATTTCAAGCTCACTGGGATATATCGAGTATACATATGAATGGAAACAACTATTGTTAATTGATAATTATTTATACGTCATCGATATATCCAAATGTCGAGATGAAAGCCACAGCAAAAAGATTTCTATTTCTCATGTATAAGATTTTGAAAAATTCTGCTTCATATGAATGTAAAAAATAGGTCTGCTAACAACTGGGCGCAGTAGGTACCCATGGGAATTCCAACAAATTGTTTGAAGACCTGGTCTCCAAAAACCTCATAGATATTGTCAATCAGAAACTCAAGCATCTTTTTAATATCAACTTCAGAGTACTTGTGTGTACAAGGTCCAAAGGCTGGAATCACAGGTAAAACATAATAAAGGATGTCATTTGTTCCGTGACCCAGAAAGCAGCAATTGACCATATTACTAGGGGTTTACAACTACAAGATTGTACAAGAAAAAAGACAATTTTATTTTTCAAAGTGATAAGGGACAGGGGCCATGTTATGTTGATAAGATTTTGCTTTGAATAAATGAATTGTGTCACTCCCAGAAGCACAAAAGGCAGTCAAAGACTCAGCAATTGGGGAAGTTTTGAACTTTTTCAAATGATTCAAATAAAAACTGATCATTGAAGGTAGACCCTTATTAGGGATCCAAGTGTTTGAGTATAATTAAAGACTGTTTTGAGAAGGTTTTAAAAACCAAAAAGCAAACTATAGAAGCAGACTACCAAACGTGTAGACTATAGAAGACTAAGTTGTTAAAATTGTTAAATTCACCGCATCAAAAGTGCATCATATTTCCATTTTTTTTTAAATATTCGCTAATCTAGGATTTGACAACTTCATGCTGATTAATATGATTCCAATATTATTGTGCATCTCAAAATAGTATTTCTTTTTGCACAATGTTGTAGTTTGAGCTACCCTTTACTTTATTCTATCACATTCTTTTATTGGCAATCCTCCTGGCAGCTGATTAGTTGAACACAAAACAAAAACATCTGTCGTCAGTAATTCAGGATTTAAAAAAAGAATTGGATAGATTACACAATCAATGTGTACTGTTCCCAGCTGACAAAGCAGGTAACATTGTCTCATAATTTTTTACTATTTTAGAGGAGCTGAGATTTAATTCTGCAAGTGGTAATCCATCCTATACCCATAGCTCTCTAAGGAGGAAATTCTTCAATTCATATGTCAGATTTTATATATTAAATTTTACATACATGTATAAAGTATTTTTAATATTGCCAACAATCAAATTGAATTTGATTCATAGCGGTTCCAGTAAATGTCTACGAAGCCTCTTTCTTTATACCTCACTAAATAATTAACAGCAGTGAAGGAGAAACTTCAGGAGTACTGTACAACAATATACTCAAGAAGTGGTATAAATCAGATGTGGATACTAAAAAAGCCCCAAGGAACGTTTAAAAATTTGGAATCAGAAAATTTTACCAAAATCAGTAACATCAAAACGTTCGATTTTTCAACTCTTTATACAACCATTCCCCATGATAAAATAAGGTCCAGGCGTTTTGACTTCGTACCTGCCTTTTCAACAAAAATGGAACTCGTAAATTTACTTACCTTGTCATTGGTCATTTGCAACAATATTTTGTAAAAATAAAATTCTGATTGTACACACAAGTACTCCGAAGTTGATGTAAGAATGCACGAGTTTTTGATTGACAATATCTGTGCAATTTTTCGAGAACAAGTCTTCCGACAATCATTTGGATTTCCCATGGATGACAGTTGCGCCCCTTTATTAGCAGACCTATATTTGTATTCATAGCAGAATTTATTCAAACACTTATACATGATAAGAAGAAGACACTAGCTTGATGTGGCGTTCAACGTTCCAGTCGATACGATACGCAAGAACATGCTCTACTTACGAACAATTTCTAAAACTATGCAGGCTATTGACAAACATGTTGATGAAACAAGGATATCAACAGTCTCGTTTGAAGTGAACATTTGGCAAGTTCTATGGTCGATACACTGACCTTGACAGCAAATACAAACTATCATGAAGTTGAATGTTGACTGACGTTTTTCATTCTAGTTGTTACGTCATTTTATCCACACTGAATCGTCTACGGATTTCCCCGTTTTCCCGATCATGACAAGGAGTACACGAATAGACAGGGGATGCTTACTCCTCCATGGCACTTGATCCCACCCCTTGCTCACTTTTGATTCCAGTCTTACTTTTACCAAAGGAATTGATAGTGGAAAAGAAAGAGTGAGATTAAAGTGTTATTGCCCTGGAGCCTGATGTTTTTAGAGGTCTGGCCCTGAAGCCTGATGTTTTCTCTGCTCCCGATTTGTATTGTTTCAATGGTCTTTCCAGCTTGATTACTGTTCACTGAACATACTGATAACAATAAGTATGAAAAAACATGAAAAACGTCAGTCAGAATTCGACTGAATGATAGACTTCAAACGAAACTGTTGATATATTTGTTTCATCAACCTGTTTGTCAATAGCTTTGACTTGTTTTAGTAATTGTTCGTACGTAGAGCATGCATATGGGTTCTAAGTCACCATTTGATTCGATATGCAAGAGCATGTTTTTGCATTCTTTGCTCTAGCGGTCTATGATTAGTATTCTTTGCTCTAGCGTTCTGGTTTATTTGCATCGTCGCTCGTTGACCTTAGAACTGCATGTTAAGAACAAAATTTTATAAGATTAATGTTAATATTTACATTTCAATTTTTTGTCCGAGATAAAACAAATTAAAAAAAGATTGATTTCTTCATAAAACTATTGGTTCATCGAAAGGCGTGGATTAAAATTCACGTGCGGGGCCTCGATCGAACAGGTGAATTTACGGAATCATGTAGATATAAAGAATAACTGTCAGGGTTTGCTTTTTGTTTTATAATGATGATCAAGCATTTGGCTTGCATAATAATTTCATGCATTAACGCCTTCGGCATTTATGCAAACTGTTTTCTATCTTCACGGTGTCATTAAGATACTCCCATTTCCATATGAAGCCATGACATACAATGTAGCCAAACTGAGTTAAAATTAAATAATTTCGCTTTTCTCCAAAAGATGTTTTGAATTTATGTATTTTCAGAACCATATTATAAATGCACTAAATATTGCAAAGCATTTTTCTTTCGAGATATAACCAGTTCTTGACGTATATGAATGCATTGGCTTGAACAAGATTTTTCTCAGAATTTATTCAAGGACAAAGTCTCTCAAGTTTAAAGTTTACAATAATTTATGTAATAGTAAGACCACATTAAGAAAAGTCTTCGTAATGAAGAATGGGCAGAAGGAAGCAAAGCCCATTCTTCATGATGAAGATTTTTCTTAATATGATCTTACAGGTTAGAACAGAACCTCAGCCAATCAAATTAATGATTCCAAAATAAACTCCTCCACTCATGATTGTGTCAATAGTGTCATACCTATTTTTATATATAAACACACACACACACACACACCCTCACCCCCCCCCCCCCCCCCCACACACACACACACACACAATATTGAACACGTGCAGTTTCAAAATGGACCTCAAAACCATTCAAGTTAGCATGGACCTAAATGAAGTTCTTCTATATTAATTGGGAGTCTTGGACGGTGAGGATATTAAAGGTACCGAGGCAATGAATATTCATGTACATGTACCAAGCGCCGAAATATGGCTGAAATATTGCCGACTCGGCGATAAACAATAAAAATCAATCAATCAAGAATCCAAGAATCTTTTAAAGATTTTCTATAAAATTGTGGTTTAACGACAAAAGGCCGTAGCCAGTAGGAGTGGACATCGCTCTAACCCCACATAAAAGTACCATAGGGAACATTTTACTTTTATACTGAAGGAAGTTAGAAACACTCTCGCTCCTCCTGTGCGACCCCCCCCCCCCCAAAAAAAAAAAAAAAAAAAAAAAGAAAATCGTGCTTTAAATCGATCTTCAGAGACAACGCTAATATACATGACGACGATTGTACTTTTCTGGATATGTGTGGAGAAAAACTTTGTATTCAGA